TATATATATATATATATATATATATATATATATTAGATACGTACTTGGGTACACACAATACATACGCACAGAGCAGTAAATAAATAAATAAAAAAGGAAGTGAAAGAAACACCATCTCTATCACCATCAACATTAGTAGTAGTAGTAGTAGTAGTAGTAGTAGCAGAAGCAGCAGCAATGAATGAGCGGCAGCAGAAGTACTACACCGCAGATGAAGTTGTTGAACTCATCCAATCACTACACCGTCCGCAGGATAATAAACTCTTCGCACGCGATGTCTTGCTCGATCATCCACATATCGCAGAAGCCTACACACGCGTCTGTCCACGCCGTTGTGATCTCGCGACCGCCGCTGAAAAGGCCGCGCAGGATGCATACGGCTACGATGTGCGGCTCACTGCCCTGCGGGAAGACATTGAGCTCATCGTCAGTAATTGCATTCGCTTTAACGGCCCACAGAGTCCCTTTGCGGAGATTGCGAATAGTTTTGGTCAGTTCGCAAGAGAGAAGATTGATGCCTTTGTGGCCTCCAAGACGGGCGGACGTCGTGTTTCCTCTTTACGAGTGGCGGCGTTAAGTGAAACCAACACACGTGGGAAACGGTCGAGAGAAGAGAAACAAAAACAAGAAAAGAAAGAAAGCAAGAGAAAAAGTCAGAATGATAATAATAATAATAATAATAATAATAATAATAGTAATAGTAATAACAGCACTAATAACACTAGTAGTAATTGTAGCCGAAGTAGTAGTAATCTTAGTGCTGTTGCCTCGCATGAACTCATTGGTAGTTATAGCAGCAACGTGACTACTTCAGAACTTGTCAAACTCGTGGAATCACTCAATCGCCGCACCGATAAAGGTGTTTTTGCAGTAGACGTCGCCGAGGCTTATCCGGAACTGCGCAAAGCCTATGAAGAAGTGTGTCCAGAGAAGATGAATCTTTCCATGGTGATGGAACGAGCCACTAGTGGATATTATCTTGCCCAACTCCAACAACAACAACAACAATCGCAGCGAAGACGGAAAAGTGATGAATCTCAAATGATTGTGTTTGGATCTACACTTGCAGACTCGCTGGTGCCGCTGCGAAATGATGTGGAGCTTATTGTAGGAAACTGCATTCGGTTTAACTCTGGTGATATGACGTGGGTGCGACGGGCCCAGTCTTTTCAACACTTTGCACACAAGAAAATAGATGAGTTTATTCTCCGCCACGTCCCAACACTGAAAGGCACACGAACAGGTGTGGAGATGTACATTGCCGCCGGATCCCATCAACAACAAGAACAATTAAAACAAGAGGGAGAAGAAGAAAAAGAAGGGGAAGAAATAGATGGAGAAAGAGGAGAGGAAGAGCAAAAACAAAAACAAAAGCTAGAAGGAAAGAGACAAAAGCAAAAACAACGAATTAACGCCTATCCAGGTTCTCAAGAAAGTGAAAGAACTAATGAGAGTCCTATTCCTTCACCAACAGCATCTTCATTTTCTTCCAAAATGAATACTTCTGCAATCTCTGTGAAAAAAGAATCCGCTACTGTTGTTGTGGATGATAATACTCCGACCCCTACTCCGCCTCCTACTACTAATCCTTATTCTTCTTCTTCTACGGCAGCAGCAGCAGCGGTGGTTTCTTCCCATTCTACGGTAAATACATTACCACAGGCGATGGTTGTTAATTACGTGAGCCCAACAACTGTGCCAACGGCACTACAACCAATGTTTAAAATACCAGATTCACTGCGACGACAGTTGATTACTGATTATCTGGGACGGAAGACCCTTCGAGCTCGACTTATCCATACACTCAACGAGAATAATAATAATAATAATAATAATAATAATAATAATAATAATAATAATAATATCAATAACAATGGTAGTAGCAACAACAACAACACTAATAATAACGAAAATAATTTTACTGAAAAGGCATTTCCACCTGAACTCAGTTGCCGTGCTGTTCTGGACGCTTTTATTGTCTCTGTGCAGGAATTTTATCGCACTCAAGGTGAGCGTCAGGACTTTGTTAATCCATTTGATTTCCTGAAAGAACAAGAAGATGTTTATTTAAAATATGTTACGCTCGTTAAAGAACAGTTCGAGCGTCTTTTCCTTCACATGGTTTTATATGAACGTGAAAAGGCAGACATGTGGGATTGGGGTTCCGCAAAGGCAGCACAGCAAATACTCTCGACTAGTTGTACTCCCCTGCCAACGCAAAATGAAAGTAATACAGAAGGCAGTAGTGGTAGTAACACGAATAGTAATATTAATAATAATAGTAATAACGGCTGTGCTGCCCCCACCCCTTCCCTCACGTACCCTTCCTGCACTAGCTGGTTGGATGAAGTACACCTGTGTTATCTCGTTCGCTTCATTGTGCACTTCCCGCAACTCATGGCATTTGCCTGTGCTAAGAAAGTAACACATTTAGATTCACAGAGAACAGCAAAAGAGGGACTAACTCTACAAATCACAAAGGTTGAGGTGAATATCATAGAGAAGTTTGCGAAAATAACAGAGGAATTGCTGATATTTATCGCAGATTATGAAGATAAGGTTCGAAGCATAGAGGAAAGCAAAGAGGAGCCTCCGGAGGAGTCTTAGGCTCCCAATAATGTAATGTTTTTTTTTTGTCCATTTTTTTTTTTTTTT